ACACGATCCAAGCCAGGTTGTGCGTTTTTTATGATAGCCCATGCGTTTTTAGAGGATTACCCATGAGTTTTTTTATTTTTGAAAAAAGTAGGAGTTGCGTCACCAATGTATGGTCTAGAAGTAGGTCATGTGTTTTTTAGCATGGCCTGTGAGTTTTGGCATTAGGCCGTGAGTTTTGAGTGTATGCCCGTAAGTTTTTCAGTTTAGGCCGTACTCTTTTTTTTTTTTTTTTTGAAAAGTTGTGATCAAAAGGCACGGGGTGATTTCAGCCCATGTTTTTTTGTCCTTTCCCGTGCATTTTTGAGCTTGGCCATGCGATTTTTTTTCTTTGAAAAACCTCATCGGCCACGCATGGTCAAAAAAATCAGGCCATGCGTTTTTTAGTGTCTGCCCATGCCAATTTGTACATGCCCGTGTGTTTCTTTTCTGTAATCCTAAAAAACCATTTTTTTTCACATGACTCCCTCTCATTCTTTTAGATATGGAAAATGTTTTGCATGGACTCTCAAAAATACTCAAAAATATTTCAGCACAAATAAAATAAAGTAAATAAAAGAAAAAGTGGAAAGAAAATACTCTCGAGTTGCCTCTCGGTTAGCCACACATATTTCAAAAATGTTTAGCTCGAGTTGGCCCCCGGAATATGTTATTCTTTGAATGTTGGGGGTCTACAACTTAGTAAACTTCTTACTAATTCCTCAAATAGGACAAACCATACTGGACATAGACCCTTGATGCAATCAATCGTCCAACCGACCCCTTTCTTGTACTTGTCAAGTACGATGATCAACTCTTCCTTCTTTGGTATGGTGGTTGAGTTGATGACCACTTAGGTGTCTTCCTTCTTGGGATATGTATCCTTTAAAGAGTCCGACGGATTTATCATTTCTGGCACTAGTGGTTGGTCTACCAGTGAAATAATTTTCTCATTCGTAGTGGGTGGCTCAGCCTTTCTTTCTTCAACCTCGAGCACCTCCTTTACAACTTCCATGTCAACCTTCTTAATTGTTACTTCTTCCTTGAAAACCTTCTCCACTTCTACTTCTTCCTCCTCTTCCATGTCTTCAAGTTGCAATCTTGGGTCATCAAAAATTTTCCCATCATTCAAGGTGATGGAAAAAACGGTATGTCTTGGGTCCTCTTCAATTTGCGATGGTAATTGCCTTGAGTTTCCTATATACTCACAGATTGAGCAAGTTGTGCAATTTGTTCCTCTAAGCCTTTGAGGATAACTTTGGTTGTTTCTTGGAAGATTTAGGTATTACTGGAAATGATTTTTATAATGTCTTCCAAGGACATGATCAACATTTCATTTTGATAAGGAGGTGGAGGATATGGTTGTTGGAACTGTGGAGTTTGTTGGTATTGGTCATTTCCCCAAGCTTAGGATTGGTTGTTTCTCCAATCTTGGTTGTTGTCCCACCATTCATCATGTTGAGGTTGATCATAACTACGTTGGTTTGGCCAGTAGTAACTTCCCATTTCTTGCACTACTTCGCATTCTCCTTGTAAATAGAGACACATATCGGTTGGGTGCCCCACTTGAGCGCAAATGCCACACGAACGGGGTGTGGGTTGTACACATTTGTCATTTCCAATCATAATAACTAACTGGGATAACTCAGAAAGTTTGTCCTTAATGTAAGGAGTATTCATTTCTAAGCCACGCATTTTGTTTTTTGTTTTGTTCTTTTTTTTCGATAGAGATGTACCTGCTCACAAAAATCTTGGTATAAACAATTAGTAACATCGTGTCCCGGCAACGGCGCCAGGGTTTATACAATAGGCACTAAGTCCATAGTCGCAAGGGTTTAGGCACTAAGTCCATAGTCATGGTTTATACAATTGGCACTAAGTCCATAGTCACCAATGTTTACTTATACCCTCTTTCATCCCTCCTCATTCATCTACCCATGTTTTACCCAACATATTCATAGATATAAAATACATATACGGTTTAAATCACTTAAAACATTATAAAATTGTTTATCCAACATAGATCTCAAATAAACAGATAATATGCATACATAGCACACAATTTATATAAAATACTTTATATCTATGTGTAAGATGAAAGCAACTATACACTCACTTGTTAAAATGATGATTCCAAACTCGGGTAGTGCTTCACTTCTAACGATTCTATTTTTCCTTCGACAAAACCTGGCATTATTATCACTAAGTTTTTAGTCTAATCTTTATTGCAACTAATTATTAGTCTAGATTCATCATTTACTCAAAGTCTACTTCATGATCTATCAAGTAAGGAACAACCAGGTAGGATCATATCGGAGGTAGGGTCCGTTTGGTATACGAAATATATTGTTTGGAAATCTCACTTTAAATACCTCACTAAATCACAGCCTAGACATCATTCCCGTAAGTAGATCAATCAATATAACGACTTTGAATCACTGACAAAATCTTATTTCTAGGTTCATAATAACGATATTATATTTAAATATAAGCTATATTTAAAGTACGGTAGGTTTATTTCACTTACAGCGAGTTTTATTAAAAATCGGGTTCCGTTGGAGCAAAGCTTCTGAGCCGAAAAGCTCTTTTTCTCGGAGCCTTCGTGCGCTCCGGGGCTTTCTTCTAGCGCTATGGAAGTTTCCTAAGCTTTAGGGGGATTTAAGGAGTCTAGAGAGAAGTTAGAGAGAAAAAGAAAGGCTTATGGTGTGAAGAAAATATGAAGAGTTCATCTCTTATTTATAGGGGTTCAATCGTAGAGTAGGCCCTAAGTTTCGTGTGTATCTTCCGCATACGAGCTCCATTTTCTACATTCTTTATATTCACGCATTGGTATTTACGATTACTACAACTTTCATTTAGACCTTGTCGGCTAATTCTCATTCTATCTCAGATTTACAAAACTTTATTCGAATTCGCCGCGCTTGAAGAGTAGAGACTAAGTTTCATCCATATCTTTAACATATGAGCTCTATTCTCGACGTTATTTATATCCACACATTGGTATTTACGAGTACTATAGCTTTCATTTAGATCCATCGGCTAATTCTCATTCTATCTCGAATTTACAAATCTGTATCAAATTCGCCGCGCTCGAAGAGTAGGGACTAAGGTTCATCCATACCTTTCGCATACAAACTCCGTTTCGACTGTCTTTTTATCGTTGAACTCCTATTAACGATATCTTCATTTCTCGTTTAGAGTTTTTTGGTTAAAAATCGATCGATCTAAAATTCAAAATTCAGACTATGCACTGCTATGCTAAATCTTAGAAAAATCATAACTTCCTCATATGAAATCAGATTTGGACGTTCTTTTTATGCACACTCTCGGTTTAACATATACTATGAATTTCGTTTAGAATGCTAAGGTTAGAAAGTATTTTATCATAAATTCACTTTTTACGATTCCCGGTGTCGTGTCGGTTTTACCGTAAAATTCGACGGGTCATAACTTCTTCGTTAGAACTCGGATTTCGGCGTTCTTTATATGTACGGAACCCTTGTGACATATACTATAACTTGGTCAAGATTATTTATTTTAAATAATCATATATAAAAAAGTCATTGTTGACGCTTATCGTCTCTAAATTGACTAGCCCAGATTTGCGTTGTTTTGCTTCTTTACGACCTAAGGAGTGGGTTAAATGGATGTCATAGGCAGAATACTAGTATAATACGTCCTATCATTCATCTATTAAAATGACACCTTTCAAGGTTCTTTTCAGACAAGATCCGGCAATCCTATTTAGCTATGATCGAGGAGCGACTGTTACTTTTGATGTGGACGAATATCTATGTAACCGTGACAGGTGTCACAAGAATTAAAGATACAGTTGATCAAGGCACAACTTATGAAGAATTATGCAAACGGAAAGCATAGGCATGTGGAGTTTGCGGTTGGAGATATAGTTTTCTTAAAGCTTAGGCCCTACAAGGAAACTACAGTAGCTACCAAGCAAAATGAGAAGCTTGCCCCACGTTTCTTTGGGCCTTTCGAAGTTATCAGTCGGATTGGACAGGTGGCTTATAAACTCGAGTTACCAACTTCTCCTATCCACCCAATATTCCATGTATCACAACTTAAAAAAGCATGGGGGGTCAAGAAGGTGTTTATTAAGTCAAGTGGAAGAGCTAATGTGTCCTCAAAGGGTGTTAGGCAACAAGGAGAATCAAGGAAAACAATAGTGGTTGATCTAATGGAAGGGGATTCCTATGTATAAAGAACCTAGAAGGCTTCCTTGTTGATGCAACAAAGGTATCCTAAGTTACACCGTAAGGAAAAGGTGAGTTTTCGAGGTGGGGCATTGATATGAATCGAAAAGTGTGCAAGTAGGGCCAAATCTACAAGAGAAATAGAGATAGGGATCGAAGTAAAGATTAAGTCATTAGAATCAGTGTCCAATTAGGAGTTTCATTATTTAAAGTCTTTTAGTAGGTTTAGGTTTGTTTAGCTATAAAACAAAGCCTTAAGCCACCCGATAGATTACGATTTGATCAGTATTGTTTTCATTTTTTTCTTTAACAACACACGTTTTGAGCTACCTGAGGTTAGCTTCTATCACAATACCAAGCGCTAGTGGAAAGATAGGTTTTGAGTTACCTAAAAGAGTCTGAAATTCTCCTTGCAAGTGTTTCAGAAACCTCTACTAAACCTTCCATAGACTTATTTACTTGATAAAGCCTCAAGTAGTTTGCAACCCTAACCTTCGTTGAGATCATAAATACAAGTGCGCTACAAACATTCTAACAAAAACATTACGACCATGAAAGTAGAGTAAAATGAGTTGAAAAGCTACCAAAAAAAACTATATGCAGACAATTATATTATTATACACGCTTGACACTGCATGCAATAGTAATACATACCTTATAAAGTAAAAAACTATATGCAGACAATTATATTATTATACACGCTTGACACTGCATGCAATAGTAATAGTAATACATACCTTATAAAGTAAAAACCCTCCTACCAAAAGTAAAATACGTATATATAGTGTGTTCTCTACCTCTACCTCTCAAATCTCAATGCCTGGGATGTTTGTGGTTGGAGTCTGCCTCCGCATTGTGTGAACTACAACGCTTCACAAATGAGTCCAGTGTTTTCTGTTTTGAAGGGCTACTGCTACTACCAATCATCCTTGTTGGCTGCTGCTGGTTATTAGTATTATTATTTGAAACTTTCAGTGTATTCTCATGCCCATCCAGCATCTGCATAAAATTAGGTATATCACCGTCCATAACTCACTTATATATATATATATATATATATATATATATATATATATATATATATATATAAAAGCAAAAAAACAAAAAGGAGCAAAAGGAAAAAACCTGTCCCAGATTTTCTAACTTGCTTTGCACAACATCCCTGAAAGGAGAAAAAACAAAGAAAGTGCTTTCAATTACTTATCAGCCAGCAAAGCATGATTTAGGATTTATAAGATGGGCTTGTTTTGTTACCATATGATGTCATCGACTGTGTCACTTGCCAGGAGGTAGTATACATTCACTGATGATACCTGCAAGTGCAAAAGCATAACCCCACACCAAACCACAAAATCAGAATCAGAAGCCATATGTGTGTTATTAATAGGAAGAAGCTCAGGTCCTCCTATTCGACTAAATTATAAATTTTCCACCATACCCATACTCACACACACTTAATTAAAAAAAAAAAAAAGGACATCATGGCATGGTACAATACAATTGAAAAGTTAGAAAAAATGCTTCAAGGAATAGCAACCTGCTTTCCTTTATTATGTGTATTATAGCATCCAAATTTAATTCAACTTTTTTTTCCTTATTAAGGCAAGGCATTCTACTTTGAAAAACCGACCCATTATAGCATTGTACTTTCAATTTATTTCTTATTGGGACATTATACTATGAAAGAAAAACCCACCCAGGCCATCATAATAGATGGCATTCTACTCCAAATTTGATTCTAATTAGATAGGACAATATAGCAATTTTGTTTCTTATTAGTATACATTGAAAAATCTATTCTACCCTACCCAAGTGGATACTGGTTTGGATTTATAAATATAATAAACATATGAATGATTATGTAAGTACATTGCTATTTCTTGCATTAACATTTTCTTAAAAGGTGTTTCAGTTGACAGATTTAGAAAAACAAACCTGTCCAATTCTGTGAGCACGGTCTTCAGCTTGAATCATGTCCCCTGGTGTCCAAGAAAGCTCTGCAAATATTACTGTGCTTGCTGCTGTTAAAGTTAACCCAACACCACCAGCTTTGATAGATAGCTACACAACACAACAAAGCAAGTATAACTAAATAATCAAACAATTCTTTATAATACAAATATAAATTATAAATTATTAATTACTAATTATATATACCACTGCTGCTTTTATGGCATCTTTTTCCTGGAAATCTGTGACTAAGGATTGTCTTGATCCTGCTGAAGTACCACCATCTATCCGAATACAACCAACCTTCTTTTTCTGGAAATTAGGCAAAGCAAATAAGAATCTAATCTAATTATTTTAGAAACCTATTCACAAACACCAAACGCGCTCTGGTCTGGTCTTACAAGAAGAAGTTGATGTATTGAATCAATCATTGACTGATGATGAGCAAACACTATAAACTTGCACCCCGCCTGCACCGTAAAATCATGAAGCATTGTATAATTTGCAAAGTGAAAATAAGCTAGTGTTGTGTTGTGTTCTGTTCTGTATGATGGAATCAAGAAAGGAATGGAATGGAGTGGACCATTATTATAGAATGGATTGGAGTGTTCCTACAGGCCAACAAGCATGATAATGACTCATTCTATCTCCTTGCCTAATGCCTATTCCATTCCTTCTGTCATTTCATTCCATCCAGTAATGGCAACGTACCTCAATGACAGTTCCCAGGTAATCCAGAACAGCAGGGATTTTGGCTTCCGCGGATTCTGTATAGATCTGACCATCAAGCAAAAAAAATTTAACATACAGATTAAATATTACAACACTTGACATATTGTATACGGATGAAAAACATGTATGCATATATTACAAAGGTAGGGTCATCCGGGCAGTACTGGGTACTGAGGTACTCAACTGTAAGTTAGTCTATTAGGGGTAAAATAGTCAAGTACTTGTTATTCCTGTTCAAAATGAATTTACTGGAGTGGTGTCTTCACGGATAAATGATAACGATATACAGAGAAAGAGAGATGCTAGAAAATAGCTTAAAGATTGTTGCATTGCATGTGCACCTTATTTATGATTTGCTTCTCATTAAGCTTAAGCGACTCGCCTTCCTCTTTGGACTTGCAGGCCTTGATTTTGTTTTTTATAACGTCCAACTGTATAATGAAAAGAAGTGATAATCATCACTACAATTTTAAGAAAACATGACAGTTTCCTAATTTGAAATGAAAGAACAAAAAATATATATAGAATAAAGACACGCCTAAAAGTTTAGAATACCTCACAGAATAAAGCATTAATTTGCCTCATGTCCTTGTCTGCCAAGTCCAGAAAAACCTAGGAACAAGAAAAACAATAAAAATAAAAAAAATAAAAAAATAAAAAAATAAAAAAAGATGAGCATTACTCCACTAAATATAAACACATATGATTAGGAAAAGAAAAACTAGTTATATTTATATACATCACATATAAGAGAGTATATAACATTAGTTTAATTAGTTGGTTCTTGATTATGAGAAGTTATTTTTGTAGCCTAGTTGTATATATATACATATACATATGTTTCTCTGACTTATCAATAATATTAATAAGAATCAAAACTTAATGGGTTACCTGTTGCCTGCGCTTGACAGGTAGCTCAGAGAGAACGTCTTTTTTGAGTCTTCGAATCATCACAGTTGCTTTCATCAAGTTGTGCAGTTCTTCATGATTACTTGCACCTTGATACATTCCAAAATGACCCTGGAAAAAATATTACATTAAATTTTCTCACAAAGATATGATGAAAACAGATACTGGTAGCAAAATAAGTCCATCTTACACCCAGGCAATATCTGTTGCCATATTCATGAACATTCTTATATACCGTAGGATACAGTGCTTCAAGCTGTCAAAACATGTAAGGGTTCAATTCAGAGAACAGATAATATTAAATTTGATTAGAAAAAAATCAAAATATGGAGTCTGGAAAGAATTTATGACCTGTTTGAACAGCTCAATCGGTCGAGATAAAGCAGGAGTCCCACTAAGCAACATTAAGTATCGAGCTTTCTGCATATATGAAAACAATAAACACATCAGCAAGTGTGTGTGTGTATAACAGAGAGAGAGAGAGAGAGAGAGACCTGTAATAAAGGAAGAGATGCCGTAGTTCGCTTGGCTTGGGCATTCTTCAAGAAGTGCGACTCATCCGCAATCACAAACTATATATAAAGAATTCATTATTAACAAAAAATTGCATATGAACAAAATCCCAAGGGATGCAAAGCTAATTGGCATGCACATGTTACTTGTTTTTTCTTAAATATGTATTTATATTTTTAAAAAGATCACAAAGTCAGATTTCAGATGTCAGTTTGAATAGCCTTAGAAACATAATCCTAATACTGGTCTCATTCTACATATTGCTATCTGTATGTTTTATCATGTACAAAGTAGGCACCACTGTCATGAGGTACACAATCCCTTTTGTATACATAAATGTGATGGCAAACAGTAACCATTTCATAATATCAATTCATGACACAAAAAGATTGCAATTGGAACTTTGAAGTACAAATGGTTACCTTAAAATTTGAACTCATGAGACTCCCTTGAATCTTGGGCACGACATCATATGACACAATGTTGAACATTCCATCAAGACTTATATCTCCTTTGGTGTTTGATCGCGTTATTGTGAACCCACCCTTGTTTGACCCATTGTAACTAGACAAAACCACCTGCAAAAAAAAAAAAAAATCACAACAATCGTTATATAATGAAAAAACATGATGTCATGTTCACATTTCTCATTTAAAAAAAAGGTCATACGTGTATATCGGAGGAGGCGATGTCTAGCCATTGTTGAATCATCTGTGTAAAGCATGAAAAATAAAGTGTAAGTTGTTTACATTTATAGGATAGGATAGGATAGGAAGCAAGAGGTAAAAGAGAAAACTAACAGAAGCCCATTGAAGCCGTAATGAAGATGGAGTAAGAACAAGAACAGGCCATGAGTCACGAACACAAGAGGCTACAGCAATCGCCTGCCAAAAATTAAGAACCACTTATTAGGCTGGCTGTGTTTGGCTTTGGCAGATTAGCCGATAAGCTAGATGGCAAAGTAAAATGTCAGAAAAGGACATTTAGATATATAATTAAAATTGGCATATACGTTTGGAAAAGTTGTAGAAAAAGCCCCATGAGCTTATCAATAGCTTTTTTAAAAGCTAGCTTATATTATAAGCTACTTTAGTGGTCTCACCAAACACTACAACTACATTCCAATAAGCTCAAAGAATAAGTTAGCTTAAGCGCACCAAACACGGCCTTAAGATGTAAGCACCTTATCCTACATGATTTTTTAAAGATCTTGCAGACCATTCTGAGTTTTTTTTATCCATATTACCTGAAGAGTTTTTCCAAGGCCCATTTCATCAGCCAGAAGAACACGCCCTCCATGCTGCAATATAAACCTGCAATAAAAAGATCATGAATTCTTTAGATGATTAGTATCTGACCAAGTAACACACAAATTAGTCAATAATATTACATACCTGACACCGTCTCGCTGAAATGGCAATAGCTTTGATTTTATGCTATCAGGCATCGAGTCATAGCGATCTGACAAATAGCATAAACAAAACATTAACAACACGCAAAAACATGAAAAACATAAAATAGAACACACTGGTTACAGAACAAGATAATTGGTATCCGGTGTTGCCCTCCCTCCTTGAGGTTGAGGGTTCAAGTCCCGTGAGGGACATAGGTGGACAATTAGGAGTAGTATAGGAGTAGAATAGATTTGCCATTCCAAAAAAAAAAAAAGATTTGATTCAATTCTATCAAGCACTAAGCAGTTATCGCAGTCAAAAATGAAATATCGGTGAAGGGCCGAGATTTGATATACCAATTATCGTGGTAGGATATCGGTTTTATATAAATATAAATTCTAAGTCAAGTAATCAGTAGCATTGGGCTTGAAATTAAATCATCAAACTCAAAATCATGGATAATTGCAAAACTCAACTAAGCTAGTAAGCTAATCAAGTAAAAAAATAGCATTGTATTGTACCCTTCTAGCAATCAAGTAAACAACCAGAAATGAAACTCAGAAACCATTAGATGTTAACACCATTTAATGCATTCATAATGAAGGATGTTATTTACACAATCTATCAAGCAAGAAGCATTAAGCAATATCTAATGACTAAGGTTAGGTTGTAGGCATCCCCTACCTTCCTTTATGGTGGATTTAATGTTTCAAAAAAAAAGCAGCTAATCAGGGTGAGGATTGGCAATAATACTTGCCACTTGGTGTATGTTACGATCCCACATCGGCCGGTTGAAAGTAAATTAAGTTGGTAGCTTGTTTATAAATCTCTCCTCCTACAAGCTGCCTTTAAGGGTGAGTTCTACAATCTACACCATAGTTATCGATAGCGAATAGCGACGGGCCACCTATAAGCTACGTAGCGAATAGCGGTAAATAGCGACTGCTCTTTCGTATTTAGCGATAGGTATAAAAGTATTAAAAAATATTTATTATATACCTATTATATGTATTTAGCAACGCTTATATGTATTTATGAGGTGGACGCAAGGATTCAGAGCAGAGCAAGTCCAAAGCATAGAGGCGGGAGAGAACGAGACTGAATTTTAGTTAGTGCCAACCCTAATACGTTTATTCCAGTTCTTTTAAAAAAAAAAAAAAAAAAAAAAAACCCTATCGCTAAAAGTCCCGCTTTCTGTCGCTATTTAGTCCATAGCGGTCGATGACCACTTCGCCACGCTATTCGCTATAGCGACCGCTATGGTCGCTATTGACAACTATGATCTACACTTGGGTTTATGGCTTGATATGGGCCTAGTATGGGATGGGTTCGTATCAATGCATAGATGTATACTACTAAAAGTTCTATATATATATATATATATATATATATATATATATATAGAGAGAGAGAGAGAGAGAGCAAGAGTTAGGTTCAAATGTTTCTACTATCTATTATGTGCATGTAAGATTGATTCTGGACCAATCATTTTAGTTATTTTAAGAAAGTAATTGATGCATATTAAATGTTGAAGGTTTAATTAATGCTCATTATATATATATATATATATATAACTAAAATGATTGGTCCAGAATCAATCCTACATGCACACAATATATAGTTAGAACATAATAACCTAACCCTATATATATATATATATATATATATATATATATATATATATAAAGTCAATATAACAATGAGATATAAGGAGCATTTTGTTGAAATGGAAACAAAACCGGGTCAAATCAAAATCAAGATATGAGGTTGTTAAATCATGGTAACCTATTGGTTGATATGTTATATCTTTTTTGTAAAAGGTAGATAAAATGTATATAATAAAAAGAAAGCAGATTTCAAAACTATTGCTTTTGAAAGGATAACAATAATAATGATGATAACACCTTCATATGTTCCAACTCCTACCCTTTTCCTCAATAAGCCCTACTTGACTAACAATCATATCATCTGATATATAAAACATTAAAACAAACATTTCTACCTTGAAGATCTGGAACAATAGAGGCAGCAGCAATAGCACGGTGCAACAATGGATCTAGAGTTTCCACCTGTAAAATCACAACTAATTAGCAGAAAACAATACAAAAACCATGTGTAGAGATCTGATTGGTTAGACAAGTTCAAAAATATACAAGATTCTATAGAAAGCATCATTTGCAAAATAGTGTAACTATAAAAAGCACCTCAATGTTGGAACCAGATAATTCACCAATAAATTTTTCTGCTGATGGTAAAGATAATAAAGGAAAGATCCACAATCTGCACTGACAGGACGCACTAGTTATACTCTAAACAAAAAATCTACAAAATGATGTGAAATGCAAAAGAGAGAACCTTTCTTTTGCGTTCCATGTTGCTTTTGGGACCTTACGTAATGCTCCCACAAGTACCTGAGAAGATTGAGACAGCTCTAGAAGCCCATAATAAGACAAAATTAACAAGAAACAAAACAACATAAGTACCTGGTCATATGCAAATTTTGCAGCAACGTTTCCACTCGCATGTAGAAAAAACTTAATGGAACGAGTCTTTGAAGTATCATCTCCTAGAAAAACAAACAAAAGACACATGAACACGGTGGTCTATTAAGAAATAAATTATGGGAGATAGCTCACGTCACGCTCACCTGATACCTTTCGTGTAGTGCCTGCTGATGGATTTGCTGAAGCAGTTGACAAAGAATTTACCTATTTTCCAAATACAAACACACTTAAGTGATCTGAGGGACACTTTCAACAATGCATACTACTACTTCCACTTCCATCCAGAAATGCAGTGACTAAAAACAGAAATTCTTTCTAATATTACAAATTACTAGCTGTGATTAGATTTAGAGCACAATCTCAATGACCATGAACAACTATATGTGGTCATCAAAGAAACCGTTCACTGTAAGTCTGTTACACTCTCAAACTTCACAGCAGCATATGCGGTTATGACATTGACACCAAAGTTTGGAAATAGACATTCTAACTGAAGGTTATATTATGATCTTGTAGACAACATTTCCGCAATCAACGTTGCCTCAAAGAAATCAGACATGAAAAAAAAAAAAAAAAACCACACATCACACATGCTTTTAGTTTCTAACATACAAGTCTGGGAAAAGAGGGAAACATAGTTAGCGAATTGCATGTTCAAAAACCATGTAGCTCTAGCATCCTCAAGTCACTGACGAATGAATATTTATCAAATTGAAGGACATCATTGGTATGACTAAACAACTAAAAGGAGTTAAGGGAAGATTTTAAACTCTGCACCACCAATCCACCATCAAGAATCTTTGACCAAATGATGATGAACGAGTTCACTTGGTGAGTTGTAAGGTTTTATTTAGCAGGTTGTTAGGCTTGTAGAGTGATGGCTATGCATCTAATTTGACATGTTCACCGAGTCTTTGTAAGACAGGCTAACAATTTTTTGTCTTTCAAAAATAGGTAATTTTGTCCTTCTGGCAACATTACATGAGTTTGAATAAGACAAATAAAGTTTATGAGTTTAATCAACATAATAAAGATGAGAGACTTTATCAATAATGTTGTGAATGACATATGGGTTGTTTTGCATCCATGGCGCATCAGATTTCTATTCCAGCAAAGTTAACAAAGAAAGGTTTAATCTTTCACCAACTCTCATCCATTTACATGTGCTGTCTTCCCTTATCAACTTAATATGTGCCTAATGACAAAATTTTAGAGCATCATCCACTTGTGTAAAAACCACATCCTCCTAGATAAGCTAGGTGCCAGTTAATCAGATAAATGTAGTAGAAACTGCATCTGCAATTGGATCAATGGATATTCATAAATGGTCATTGATCTATTTGCTAGCATTTAGCAAATAACGAGTTTCAGAAATCCTCAAAATGTTCAAGACTTACGCTCTTACATGTGTTCTGTGTTCCCAATCTTAGTAAGTAAATATTTTAAGCCCTAAAAGGGTACACATTATAATAGAAAAATCGAACTACTCGCTCGCAGATGTATACAATATGAAGTTGAAATAATCAGCAACAACATTCAAGACATGAGGCGAATACGAAACTCAGCACACAAACGAGAGAGATACAGAGAGTTCCAATGGAATACTGACCTTGTGGGCGTGACGAGACTCAAAGACTGGTTTGACAGGCGAAGGTATCGGGCGTGCATGAGAGCCATGATAAAACGTTGAAGGGGCATGAGCCCTGGTACTCGTACTGGCGGCGGTGGTGGTCGTGGTGGTGGCGGTTGCGGTTGCGGTTGCGGTGGTGGCATTCCGTTGAGCGATCCGATTGAGAGCATCCTTTTCAAGGGAATCAAGCTCCTCCGCGCTAAAACCCCAGTCGTCCGTTTCCATCACTTTTCCCCCCTTTTTTTCACTCTCTCAATATATCTCGGAGCAGGGAGGGTTTTGAAACTTGTAACTACGGCGTTTGTTTTTTGCTTTTAAATCAGTTTTTTATTTTTAACTTTTCTAAAAAATTAGAAAAATCCAAAAATTATTTGGCAAGTGGAAAAATACTTTTAAAATCAATTTTTACCAAAATAAAAAAATTAGCATTTGCAAAAATCACACATCCGTGATTTTTTTGTATTTTTTTGAACTTTTGAGGTGAAAAAACAAAAGAAATCTCAAACACTTTTTAAACACATCTTTTGAAAAAATATCTTTACAAAGTTATAGCATTCAAAAAGACTTGTCTGTGCTTATTTACCATGTAATATTTCTTGATCTTAAATCAAATCTGATCTTCATTTTCTTCCATCTAAATTTTAGGTACATACTGATCATCCGTAAAAAATAATGTATAGAATTGAAACATTGAAAATGAAATCCTACTCTAATAAAAAGATAATTAGAGTAACTTTATGTCACGTGGCATTTGACCGGCTTCCATCCCACCTTATTTTCCAACCTAAATCATCGATCATCATCATCATCATCATCATCATCATCGTCATCGTCATCGTCATCGTCATCGTCATCGTCATCGTCATTGTCATCGTCATCGCCATCGCCATCGTCATCGATATCACCATCGCCATCGCCGGCGCCATCGCCATCGTCGTCGCCCTCGCCCTCGCTGTCGTCGTCATCGTCGCCGTCGCCGTCATCATCATCGTCATCACCATCATCATCCTCATCACCATCACCATCACCATCACCATCATCATCGTCATCGTCATCGTCATCGTCATCGTCATCGCCATCGCCATCGCCATCGCCATCGTCATCATCATCGTCATCGTTATCATCATCATCATCATGATCATCATTATTATTATATAAACGTTTAAACAATATTTCCAACCACTATGTACAGACAGGGGCCAAACATAAAACACTGGAGGGCAAGACCATTTTGGCATATAACACTTCTGAAATTCAACAACCTTATGCGGCCCTTTAAACTAGATTCCCCGTACCGCGAGTAATTCAAAAGATATTATAACGACAATTATATAAGTCATAATAATAGCCCAAATATTTATTATAATTCATAATAACAATAATAAATTTAAATATAAGCTACTAGTTTATTTTTCAATCTAATGTTATTAATTTAATATAATTATAGTGAGAAAATTTAAAATTTAAATTTTAAAATAAAGAATCAATTATTAATTTAATGGAATTAGATTGGAAATTTTAAAATTTCGAAATTTGAAATAGATAATTAATAGATTGACAAGTGGATATTAAAATAAGGTAAGCATTATCTAACATCCCAAAAAATTTTGTTTGAAAACTT